CCAGCCCCTCACTGGGGGATTCTAGGCAGGGGCTCTACCACTGGAACATGCTCCCAGCCCTTTTTATACTTTCAGACAGGGCAGGGTTTTGCTAAGTTTTCTGTGCTGGTCTTAAATTCACTCCATGGCTCATGCAGACCTTAAACGTATCATCCTCCTGCTTCAGCCTCCCAGGTAGCTGGGACCACAGACCTATGCCACCAGTCCTGGCCAGATCTTCACCATTCTAAAGAAGAGTGTGAAACACTGGTGTGATGTTTAATTCACCGTATTTTAGTAATGAGTTCGAGTTTCCACACACCACATGAGCAAATCCGACCCAGGAGGCCAGGGTGTGGCCTGTGTGTGGAGGCCCTGGGCGCCCGCTCTGACCTCATTCCCTGGCCCGATTCCTCCCCTGTGGGCCCTGCTCACCAGCTGGACCTGTGGGTCTTCTCCTTCGGGGCCCTGGGTGGGCAATGGGAATGGCGTCTGGCAGGAAGTCCTCATTCCAGGTTGACGGGGTGCTCTGTGGGGGTGGCAGGTCATTGTCTGGGCCTGAAGGCTGCTCAGCTGCCTCCAGCAAGAGGACCTGGCCAGAGAAGGGAGGAAGGTCAGGCCCCGGCCAGCAAGGACAGGGATAGAGAACAGGGAGAAAATGGGGTCTAGATACACAGTGGAGTATTATTCAATCATCAGGAAGAGTGCCATTTGCAGAGAGATCATTAGGTTATCCAAAATAAAACAGACTCAGAAAGATAAATTCTGTATATTTTCTCTCATACTCAGGCTCTCTCTCTCTCTCTCTCTCTCTCTCTCTCTCTCTCTCTCTCTCTCTCTCTCTCTGTATGTGTGTGCATGTGTCTCTGTCTCTGTCTCTCTCCGAGCCGAATACAATTAAAAATACATGAAAATATAGCACACACTTTTAGACAACTTGGTGTAAAGCATGGGCTGGCAAGATAGCTGAGCAAGTAACCGCGCTTGCCAAAACCCTGATGACCTGAGCTCAGTCCCTGAGACCCACCTGGTCCTGCTTGTCCTCTGACCTCCAAATGTGCACTGTGGCATGTGCATGCCCCTGATCCCATAGCCACAAAGAATATTTTTTTAAAAAAGTTAACAAAAATGAAAAGAAAACTGGGCATGATGGGCACACCCAGGTCCCCAGTATTTGGGAGATGGTGACAGGAAGATCAGGCATTTAAGAATTCAAGGCCAGCCTGGGCTACACGAGACATTTTGTGTGTGTGTGTGTGTGTGTGTGTGTGGTGTTGTTGTTGTTGAAACGGGACAGGAACATGGGTATGCAGGGACACATGACCCTGATGGTCCCTGAGACCCAGCTGCTCACGGCGGGTTCTGCCTCTCAGCATCCTTTGGTAGGTGCATCCCCGTCCGTCCTCTCTCCTTCCACATCACAATCTTTATGACTCTCAGGCGGCACTCTCTGGACCCTCCAGTTCATTCCATAGCCACTCATCACTGAGACTGAGCGACAACCAAGCTCCCCTTCCCTGACACAGAGGGACCGGGAGGCGAGTGCTCTGCTCCCTCTCTGTGGTGCTCAGATTCCTTTACTGGGGAATAATTATGGATGAATGACGGACAGAGGGATAGGTGGTTATACGGAAGGGTGGGTGGATGGGGTGGATGAGTGGACACACGGGTGAGCGGGTGAATGGGGATATGGGTGAGTGAATGGAAAGGCAGGTGAGTAGATGGGAAGGTAGGTGGATGTGAGGAGTGGGTGGGTGGGTGGGTGGATGTGAAAGAAGTAAGATACACGTGGCCCGTCTTGGTCAGTGGCCGTTGGTACCCACCTAGCGAAACTAAAGAGAGAGCGACTCCTCAGTACTCTCTGCCTTTCCCTCTCCCCTCAAAGAAGGCAGGGGTCGGAGATGGCAAAGATTGGGAGCCTAACGTCTGGAACTATTTCCCTTAATTCATGTTTTCAAGTAACGTGTGAAAACACCATAATAAAACCCGTAACGTTATGTGCTGACTTTTAAAGGGTTATTTTTATTTTATGTATGTGAGTATTTTTCTTGCATGTATGTCTGTGCGCCATGTGTTTGCCTGGTGCCCACAGAGGCACCCGTTACTGGAGTTATGGAAGGCTGTGAGCCGTCATGTGGGTGCTGGGGTCCAAACCTGGGTCCTCAGAAAGAACACCAAGTGCTCTTAACTTCTGAGCTATTTCTTCAGCCCTTTTGTGTGCTGATTAAAATAATATTAATAAAAATTAAAATTAAAGTGTCCCCAAACCTAGTGACTCCTAGCTGTTCCTGAAATTTCCAGCAGAGGGCGCTGTGTGCCTGAGCTGGACACAGGGCAACCACGGCTCGGGTGGTCTAGTCTGGAGTCTGGTGGGCCCTACCTAGGGCAGAGGGGTACACCTGGGAACCCTGTTACTCCCACTGATGCTGTCAATCAAAGGGACGAACACCTCACTCGGGCCTCGGCTAGCCTGAGGTTTCACGGGAGCTGTGCCTTTCCAGGTCGGCCACCTGGGAGCCCTCTCCACCCGGTTCATTCCTCTGCGCCACTCTCTTTGATCCCTGAGCCAGGAAAAGCCCGTGCATCCTCCTCCTCCTCCTCCTCCTCCTCCTACATGAACTGGAAACAGAGGCCCAGAGACTGCGCTTAACTCCTTTGAGGTCACCCAACAAGCAAGTGGAGGGACCAAGGGCTCGGATCTCCTGATCTCAACCCCCCACCCCTACTCCCACCCTCCATCCCCCCACCCCCGCCACCCCATAATCCTCAAAGGGGAAGTTCTGACTGCTGCTTGAGCCTGGGGGCATCCCAGAACTCTGTGCTGCAGAGGTGAGGGCGGAGTAATGGAAGGAATGTGTGTGGGGGTGACATGAGACAGGTGACTTGGAGCAGTGGACACGAATACGGTGTGACAGGGACCTCATAGCCTGAAGCCCCAAGGGGGATGGGAGAAGAGGGCTATTCCCCATTTTGCCTGGCTTCTGAGAACACAAAGTTGTCCATTAAACAAGGGCAGGCCCGGGGTGCCGTTGACAAGTAATTGGGGTGCACTACATCCCAGCATCCCCCAGGGCCCTAGAGATGAGCAAGGGGACAGTCCCAGGTACGTGAAACTGAAGCAGGGTCATGGAGAGGATGAGAACGTATTGGGGGGGGGGGGACGGAGAGACTTGGCCTGGTGGGGACCAGGACAAACAGCAAGTCAGAGAGGCCCAGGAAGACGTGTCCACCATATGTGGAGGAGGACAGACCCTGATGCTCTTTCCTGCTAAATTCCAGGCGTCTCCAAAGGGAACTGCCACCAGCTCTTTACTTGGGCACAAAATGCTTGGCTGACTCTGGATACGTTCACACGGCCACCATGGCCCACAGAGCCCAGGAACCCAGGCAGAGTTGTCCCAGCCTCAGCCTGCGCCCCCGCACTCCTGGCTTGGCACGGCTGACCTCCGGGGGGGGGGGGAGAAATTCCATCTGCGCCCCGACTGGGCTTAACAGGTCTGACACGGAACACAGTCCAAGAAAGCCAGACTATGGGCTGGTGGGAGGGCTCCGGGGGTAAAGGCGCTTGCAGCAAAGTCCGCCGACCTGAATTCGATCCCAGTTGATTTCCACCAAGACCCACATGGTGGAAAGAGAGAAGCGACTTCTGCAAGTTGTCCTCTGCTTGCACACACACACACACACACACACACACACACACACACACACACACACACACAGTGGCACGCATACCTGCATTCAGGAGCATGCGCATGCACACACCAAGTCCATCAAGAAAAAGTAAAGACAGAAGGGAGGGAGGGAGAGAGGGAGAGAGAGACAGAGAGACAGAAGGAAAGACAGACAGACAGACAGAAAGAAAGAAAGAAAGAAAGAAAGAAGGAGGGAAGGAAGGAAGGAAGGAAGGAAGGAGAGAGAGGGAGAGAGAGAGACAGAGAGACAGAAGGAAAGAAAGAAAGAAAGAAAGAAAGAAAGAAAGAAAGAAAGAAAGAAAGAAAGAA